CACACACCTACACACACACACACCTACACACACACACCTACACACACACACCTACACACACACACACCTACACACACACACACACCTACACACACACACACACCTACACACACACACCTACACACACACACACACCTACACACACACACACCTACACACACACACACACACAACACACACACCACACACACACACACACACACACACACACACCAGGCCTAGTGTCTAATCGACATGTGCCTAGGACAAAATGGTAACTAACACACACGCACGCACGCACACACGCACACTTGTGGTAATGCTTTATTTACAGCTAGCAAAGTCAGGGTATTTCTCCAGAATGGTCTGCAATATACCACTGTGGATAAAATACTTTGACATTTGTTAAACATCTCTGAGTGAGTTGTCTCTAAATTCATTAATTTGATCACACTCCAGTACATAATGACGCAGGGTGTGACAATAGTCTATCTGGCAAAGTTTACATTTCGTTTGGTCTACATCTGGTGGTGGTGATTTAACCTGCCAAAGTTACTTGTAACCCAGCCGGAGCCGGGCAGTAGTGACATCCAAGAGTCTGCTTATTTTGTTGGATGCACCATAGACATGTGGCTCCTCCTGCATGATAGAATTATAGAATTGATTCATAGAATTAATTCATAGAATTGATAGAATTAATTCATAGACGGATCTATTCCTACCTCGTCTCACACAACATATTAAACCCTTGTCAGTTTGAATTCAGAAATAATAAAAGCAAAAATGACGCTATCATACACATGCTAGAACTAATATACACCGCACTTGAAAAGAAAGAAGTCCCGCTGGGCATTTTCATTGATTTACGTAAAGCTTTCGATACAGTCGACCATGAACTACTGTACTCCAAATTAATGCACAATGGTATCAGAGGCCACTCCCTCAACTACCTAAAGTCATACCTTAGTAACAGAACTCAATATGTGTATGTAAATGATGCAAACTCTTCCACCCATCCAATCACAGTTGGAGTCCCACAAGGAAGCGTTCTTGGGCCACTCCTCTTTCTCATCAATGATCTACCGAATGTATCACAGCTACTCAAACCCATATTATTTGCAGATGACACTACATATGTATTTTCCCACCCAAACGCAGTCATACTAGCAAACACAGTCATTGCTGAATTACAGAAAATATCTGCCTGGATGATGACTAACAAACTTACCCTGAACATTGATAAAACCTATTTCATTCAGTTTGGAAACAAAGCTGCAAATGATCCAATTAACATTACGCTAAATGGATCATCAGTCACAAGACTCACAGAGGGAAAATTCCTAGGTATCCACCTTGACAGTAGCCTTAAGTTCCGGACACACATACAACAAATCACCAAGAAAATTTCCAAGACTGAAGGCATACTATCAAAGATAAGGTACTACGTTCCACAATCAGCTCTCCTGGCACTGTACCATTCACTCATATACCCTTATCTTACATATGGAATTTGTGCATGGGGATCAACAACATCCAATCACCTAAAACCCCTAATAACCCAGCAAAAGGCAGCAGTAAGAATGATAACAAATTCCCACTCCCGCCAGCATACTCCACCAATTTTCAAAAGTCTGAATCTGCTTACCATTAAGAACATCCACACTTATTCATGTGCCTACTACATACACAGAACAATACACGCAAATATAAACCCCACTCAGACTTTTCCTCACCAACCTAAACAGGACACATGACCATAACACAAGACACAGATCTCTTTTTGATATACCTCGTGTCCATATCACACTGTGTAAAAACTCTATGCACATAAAGAGAGAGAGATAAGATAAGATTTCGTTCGGATTTTTAACCCGGAGGGTTTAGCCACCCAGGATAACCCAAGAAAGTCAGTGCGTCATCGAGGACTGTCTAACTTATTTCCATTGGGGTCCTTAATCTTGTCCCCCAGGATGCGACCCACACCAGTCGACTAATACCCAGGTACCTATTTGCTGCTAGGTGAACAGGACAACAGGTGTAAGGAAACGTGTCGAAATGTTTCCACCCGCCGGGAATCGAACCCTGGCCCTCCGTGTGTGAAGCGGGAGCTTTAGCCACCAGGCCACCGGGCCAGAAGATATTAAAGTAACCCAGTCTGAAAATCAATTTAAAACTCTTCTCAAAAGCCACTTAATCACCCTAGACATTTACTCACCTATGTACTCCCACATCATAACTGAAACAATCACATTGAACCTTTTATCCATTGTTGACAGGAATATAATTGAATCATTGTTTTTCACAAAGCATTTTAGAATATAAATTACGTATATCTTTGTATAATACAAATTTTGATTCATTTATAATTAATATTCTACAGTACAACTATAAAATAATTACTTTCCTACTGTACAACTATGATATACTACTCCTTAGTGTTAAGTAGAATGTAAGCCAATAATGTTAAGTTGGCCCATAATGCCAAGGCATAATAGAGGCTCTCTTTGCATTGCAACCCACTATTGTAAATACACAATCTCAATGTACTGTTTGCAAAGACATTAAATAAATTAAATAAATAAATGAGGCTGCTGCAGCACCCCCTATTTTCACTCGATATTATCGATAACATTCAATATAATGAGTAAGTAAGTAAGTTTATTCAGGTATACACAAATACAGTTACATAGAATTATCATACATAGCAGCATATGTATAGAGAACCTGGGATAACCCAAAAAAGTCAGACACAGTGACTTATTTCCATTGGGGTCCTTTGGTCTTTTTTTCTTTAATTCTTTCTTTATACTTGTACATTATATAATCCTTAAGCTTAATGTCAGTAGCCATCCCCTAGTACATGAAAAAATTACAAAAATCCTTGTATGGAACTGTGCGCTTCACAGTTCCAGTGACTCGGTGTTTGGCTGTTGCTCACATGCACACATGTCCGAGATAAGACGCTGCACGCTAGGTGGAGAGAGCACTGTCGCTGACGCAGTGCCGACCCTGAGGTGGAAGCGTAAGGTAGTGTTTCTTTTTGACTCTGACGTGTGTTGTGCTTAAAAACCATGTACCATATTCTTGAATGTGTAGAATTAGATGATTATCATGCTTCCACCTATTTTATTGAATTCATATTTTTTTCAGTTCTTTAATTTTACACAATATTAAAACAATGGTAAAAAATTTCTGAAGCAGCACCTCCACTAATTTTAGCCATGAACCGCCACTGAATTTCAGACTAGATGTAACTACATTCAGACTAGATGTAACAACGTTCAGACTAGATGTAACAACGTTCAGACTAGATGTAACTACATTCAGACTAGATGTAACAACGTCCAGACTAAATGTAACAACGTTCAGACTAGATGTAACAACGTTCAGACTAGTTGTAACTGTCAAGTGGGTTTTCGATAATGTGGATGGGTAAAAATACTCACGTAGGCTGGTAGTACGTATAATATATAACGGGAAGTATGGGAAGCGCCAACAGCCGACTTGCCTCTCTCTGCTCCCTATCTTCAACTGACTCTCAAGTGCCTACAGGTGAGGGGTGTTTGAAATCCTGCTATGGTCAGCAGCAATATGAATAATCAGTCAGTGATTCACGCAGACGGTTGGTAGTGAGCCATCTACTGGTACACTGGTTACTGGTAACTGGTTACTAGGAACTGGTACTACTACTGAGATAACTACATTCAGACTAGATGTAACAACGTTCAGACTAGATGTAACAACGTTCAGACTAGATGTAACTACATTCAGACTAGATGTACCAACGTTCAGACTAGATGTAATTACATTCAGACTAGATGTAATTACATTCAGACTAGATGTAATTACATTCAGACTAAATGTATCAACGTTCAGACTAGATGTAACTACATTCAGACTAGATGTAATTACATTCAGACTAGATGTAATTACATTCAGACTAGATATAACTACATTCAGGCTAGATGTAACTGCATTCAAAATTTATCCCCTGGGCAGCACTAAAAATTAGTTGGGCAAACTTTTTTGTTGATAGGCCTGAGTTTGAGAAAAGTGTGGGTCAGTAGGCCCATAAGAAAGGAAGAACACTGCAGCAGGCTTACTGGCCCACACATGGCAAGTTCTTCTCAAACCAAAACCCACCAAAAAATATTTGCCCAACCCATCATCAGTACTACTTAATGAACAAGCTTTGCTAACCCTCTTACCTCAAGTGCAAGTCTCACTCAAATCCAACTCCCTCTCATGAGAACATGAGAATGGAGGAACACTGTAGCAGACCTACTGGACCATACAAGGCAAGCCCTTATCAAAACCACTCATGTATTTGTCCAGCCTTTCCGCAAAGTTACCCATGAATTTACTCCCGGACCTCGAACACCAATCAAACCCAGCCCCTCCCACTCATATATTCGCCCAGTCTCTTTATAAAGCTACCCAGGGTCCTAGCCTCGATTACCCTACTCGGAAGATTGTTCCAGGCATCGATAATATCGTTCTAGACCATGAAGCTGAATATGTCTCCAGGCAGAGAGAGACTGACCACATCAAATACTTTTTCTCCAAGACTGATGGACTGATTACATCATCTTTATTTCATTACTACTGCTCCCTTTATATATGACTGAAGAATCCTACTGTGTAGGCGAAACGTTTCATCAATAAAGATACTCAACTATTGCACATGTGTCTTAATTTTCATCTAGGCACTGTTGTCTTGGCTTCAGATTTCTGCTTACCATGACTCCCAAATCCCTTTCACATTCTGTGTGATCAAGTTCTACATCACCTAGTTTATAACTTCGAGGATTATTTTCATTCCCAAAGACTAGGACTTTACACTTGTGTGCTCCTTCTTGTGTTTTTCGTGGACTTGGGACAGATTACATAGAAAAATATAAGTTCGACTCTGTACCCTATACAGTGTTTTATATATATATATATATATATTATAGTATAATATATATATATATATATATATATATATATATATATATATATATATTCTTCTTTGTGTGTGAGGATGGGTGCACGTGAAGTAGCAGTGGACGCTGGCATGAGTGTCCTAGTGCCAGTGTGGTGCCTGCACAGAGATGATCAATACTGGCCACACCCACAACACTTCCAGCCTGAGAGGTTCCTAGGTGATGCCCGAGCACAAATAGTACCCTACACGTACCTACCTTTCGGCGTGGGACCTCGCAGTTGTATAGGTGAGTGATCTTCCTCTAACATGTCACAAAAATAAATTTACAAATAAAAGAATAGGAATAAGGAAGGAATTTAATTAAGATGCTTGTGCATGAATGGTGTACAATACCGACAAGATGAAAATTAGACACGTGTGCAACATCTGGGTATCTTTATTATAGACGTTTCGCCAACGAGTGGCTTTATCAATATAAATTCAAGGACATGATTGGAAGGCAGTAGAAATAAATACAAAAGATGAGGTAATCGGTCCCTCAGTCTTGGTGTTGGTGGGACGGATTACCTGGAGTTTACCTGGAGAGAGTTCCGGGGGTCAACGCCCCCGCGGCCCGGTCTGTGACCAGGCCTCCTGGTGGATCAGAGTCTGATCAACCAGGCTGTTACTGCTGGCTGCACGCAAACCAACGTACGAGCCACAGCCCGGCTGATCAGGAACCGACTTTAGGTGCTTGCCCAGTGTCAGCTTGAAGACTGCCAGGGGTCTGTTGGTAATCCCCCTTATGTGTGCTGGGAGGCAGTTGAACAGTCTCGGGCCCCTGACACTTATTGTATGGTCTCTTAACGTGCTAGTGACACCCCTGCTTTTCATTGGGGGGATGTTGCATCGTCTGCCAAGTCTTTTGCTTTCGTAGTGAGTGATTTCGTGTGCCAAGTTCGGTACTAGTCCCTCTAGGATTTTCCAGGTGTATATAATCATGTATCTCTCCCTCCTGCGTTCCAGGGAATACAGGTTCAGGAACCTCAAGCGCTCCCAGTAATTGAGGTGTTTTATCTCCGTTATGCGCGCCGTGAAGGTTCTCTGTACATTTTCTAGGTCAGGCAATTTCACCTGCCTTGAAAGGTGCTGTTAGTGTGCAGCAATATTCCAGCCTAGATAGAACAAGTGACCTGAAGAGTGTCATCATGGGCTTGGCCTCCCTAGTTTTGAAGGTTCTCATTATCCATCCTGTCATTTTTCTAGTAGATGCGATCGATACAATGTTATGGTCCTTGAAGGTGAGATCCTCCGACATGATTACTCCCAGGTCTTTGACGTTGGTGTTTCGCTCTATTTTGTGGCCAGAATTTGTTTTGTACTCTGATGAAGATTTAATTTCCTCGTGTTTACCATATCTGAATAATTGAAATTTCTCATCGTTGAACTTCATATTGTTTTCTGCAGCCCACTGAAAGATTTGGTTGATGTCCGCCTGGAGCCTTGCAGTGTCTGCATCTTTTGTATTTATTTCTACTGTCTTCCAATTATGTCCTTGAATTTGTATTGATAAAGCCACCGGATGGCGAAACGTCTACAATAAAGATACTCAGATGTTGCACATGTGTCCAATTTTCAATTTAGATGCTTAAAATATCTGTAAACTCAGCATTGTAATCCTTATAGAGAATAAACTTTGAACCCTGGCAGAAATTGCAACAGTGGATTCAGGAAGGATCTAGGAAGGCCCTAGTTTGGCAGTAGAGTTGGATTTTTTTTACACAGTTGAATTTACAGGCTTGGACCAGTTACATTATCTTAGGTCATTTCAGAACCCAGTCCTATCTATCGTGTACTACCAACATCTAAATGAGACACATCGTTCGAGCAACACCCAGATAACTATTTACTGCTAAGTTAACAGGTGAAGGAAGTTTAAGGAGACTTGCCACGTCCTTCCCTAGCCTTGGAATCCATCCCTGGCCCATTTGTGAGCCGAACACTCTACCATTGAGCTATAGATTGTACATGAGTGGAACAAACTGCAGAAGTATCATTAATGAAACAAAACTAACACTTTGGTAGAGTATGAACATAAGTAGGAATGTAGTACTTAGGTCATGTATACACGTGTGGTAGATGTCATGCAGTTTTTTTTTACAATACATTATGCCATTTCAATGCGTCCTTCTAGGTATTCATTGCTTTCAGTATACCATAACAATACACCAAAAGACGTGGAATGATAACGTACTGAAATGCACAAAGCTGGTTGGGCAGACCACTGACTTAGACGATCACAATCCCCAACATAAGCTTTAAGACCACAGCTGAAGAAATGCCGTCAAATCACCCCTCTCCCTCACTACAGTATCAATATTTCCTGTTCATTTCCATTCAGGTCAGTCTTGCCCCATGTATTTTTCTTGATTAACTGATGTTTTAAGCAGGCATCTGCCAAATAAAAACCACTTCCTCTGCAAAAATTTACAAGGAATTCTCCCATTATGTTTGCTACCCTAAACTTAAATATTTTGTCTGAAATTGTTACATTCACATGACACACTTCATCACTTTTTCACAGGGAAGAAGTTTGCCATCTTGGGAGTAAAGGCAGGTCTGTTGTTGCTGATCTCTGGTCTGGAGGTGCAGCCATGTCCACTGTCCCCTTATCCACTGATTCTCGACCCTCGAGTACTCACCTTGCAGCCCAAGGACGGTGTCTATGTTAACCTGCATCCAGTGAACTTAAAAGAAACTGTGAACAAAGAAATGATGCAGTATCATGCATCAACACCAGAAGATGAGATTATAATGGAGGATCTGAAGAGATGGTATACCCAAAAAGACGGAACCTGCCAGCAGTGATCTTATACTAGTATATGACGTAGCCGAATATAAAAAAAAATATTGTGCACTGGCGAATTGCACTATAAAAATGTTAGAATGTTAGATTCAAAACTTATCGTCTGCAAGAAACAATAGTGCTGCAATTTAACTCTACACGACTATAATATATACTTTCTCATGTTATAGAAATAGTTTGTCCACTAACTTGGTGTGTGTCTGTGAGTTGTCAAGAGAGGGTAGGTGCCTTGATTTAAATGAACTGCTTTTGATCCAAGGAATTTGAGCTACCCCGACCTTTCCTTGGATTGAAGCTGTTTTCTTTCCATTCCCCAGGCATTATATGGCGCCCTACGGATTTGGTGCTTCACGATGAATGTAATATAGTAAAGTCAGGTTAAACATTATGCTTGGAACTCGAGAACTCTGTAGCTTGTAGGATCCAAGAAAGTGCTTGCTAGAACAGCATGAATGATCCAGAGTAGAGAGAAGGGATGCAGTATACTTGATATATCTGCAACATTTATCAGTAACTTCCTAATATACACAAAGTAAAGTGAATCAAGAGCATACATAACTGAGGTTACCGCTAGACCCCTGTGGCTGTCTTCAAGAAGGTGCTGGACAGGTACCTAAAGTCAGTACCTGACCAGCCGAGCTGTGGTTTGTACGTCAGTTTACGTACGGTCAATAGTAACAGCCTGGTTGATTAATCCCTAGTCCACGAAGCCTGGTCACTGACCGGGCCGCGGGGGCGTTGACCCCCAAAACCCTCTCCTGCTTAATTTCAACTCACATTCAAATTTCATTTTTTTTATGCAGTACAAAGATAATGTGGTTTATATGTAATAAAACATTGTGAGGCACAAAACAAAGTCACTAGTATGCAACGCATTTCCGGCATTAATTTGTTATTATTTTCAAAAAATAAAAAGCAAAACTCATCATAGTTATTCAGTGCTGGTCAACTTGCAGTATTTTATACCACTGGTCGTCTCCTGCGAAAGTATGTGGGACAAAAAAAAAAAAATATTCACTATAATTTATTCAAGAGGTGTCCTGCCTCTACTGAGACATGACAACTCGACCTTTGAACTGAAACATCTCCACTCGACCTTAAGACTTGAGTCCAGCTAACAGGGTTCTCAAGGATCACTTCAGAAATGTTATCTTCTTACTCTTCAACAGAACATCAAATCCATTTGTCTCCACTCTGATCTAAGACAGCTTCTCCAACTCCTTCTGGACTGTCCCCTACTCCTTCGATCAGTCCCAGATTTATGCACCTCTTGTCCCTATTTTGACTCACGAAATCGTAATGACACGATTGCAAACAGACCATACCACGGGTGGGGTTTGAACCCGCGTGGCTAACGCGACGGTCTGGAGTTTTGAGACTCTCTGACCGCGGGTTCAGCCCCCCCACCTGTGGTATGGTTTGTCCCTACTCTATTCTGCTCCACTCTCTATATCCTCAAACCATCTGAAAAATCCCTCCTCCGCCTCTGAATTGTACCTTTTGTAGCACCATCTTTCACTATCTGCGTTCAGGATTCTCTGCATAATATTCACGTTACACATTGTGACCAGATCTACCTGGAGTTCATTACCTTCGTACCTTGTTCAGCTATCATAACTTTGTGGTCCAGTCCCTGGACCAATTATGTACCTCTGTAATCTTTTAACTACCGCCCACAGGATGGGTATGGGCTGCATAATAAACATATTAAACTAACTAACATTGCTGTCAAACATAACATCACTGCCCGCGGCCTCATATACATATGAAAGTGTTGACGTTGTATTACTGGGTATGAAGTGCATAATAAAGATAATAAACTATTGCTGTATTAATGTATTCTGGTACATTCTTCTGTTTATCTTCATATATAATATTTTTCAGAGATACCTCTACACCTCGCTTACCTTTTTCCTCTCATCTGTTCTATGGTTTACCTCGTCTTTGCTACATTCTTCTTCCGACATCTTCATCACTAGATACCTTAATACAATCACTTCCTTCATATTCCCTCCAATCTGACATTCAATCTTTCATCGTAGAGACTTTTTTTTTGGTGCTCTCATCATTTTTGCTCTTTACTATACTCACTTTTAATTTCCTTTTATACATCTTCCCAAATTACTCCACCAACCTTCGAAATTTCTCTTAAGAATCTCCCCAAAAGTGTCATCTGCAAAGAGAAATTATGAAAACCCACTTTGTAACAAATTCAATGTATTTTAATCTCACATCTTCCCTAATAACTCAAGCATTTGTTTATTACAATATTTATAATTAAATTTTTAAAACCATGGTGGCCATCACACAGTCCTGTCGCATCCTGGGACACTGACCTAATTTGCCCGACATGCTGAGCATAACAAGGGGACTTTCTCTTTAGTAGTATGTCATTGTCAGCTAGGACTGTATACCTTGTACATGTACTTGTAGTAAATAAAGATATTATTAATATTATCATAGAATGATTGCTCTAGAAGCTCTCGTTGCGATTTTTGACGTATCCCAAATATTTTCAGATTTGTGTGAGTAAACAAGGGCGATATCTTCCTAAATGTCATGAAACATAGAAACTGTATTTTTTTTAGAACGAAGATAAGGTTTATTACAAAAATGGGAAAACGAGGGGGGAGGGAAATTTAAAAAGTGGTTTCTATCAGCGTAAGTGTCAAAACCACTTTTCCAAGTACCACTTTGGCCCTGTGCTCTGCCAAATGTAATTTTTCGTAAATTTTGTTTTCTTTTTCATTTGCTTTCAGCCGATCTTTCTGGCACTTCATCAAATCATGGTCGATATCAGCTTCTTTTTAGTACACCAAAACTGAACGAAATCGGTTGACAAAAAAAAATGTCGAAAATTCTCATTTATATGCCCCTCACTACTCATCCATCATCTGCAACTGGTTTACCTGGAGTTTACCTGGAGAGGGTTTCGGGGGTCAAGCCCCCGGGGCCCCTGTCTGAGACCAGGCCTCATGGTGGATCAGGGTCTGATCAACCAGGCTGTTACTGCTGGCCACACGCAAGCTGACGTACGAACCACAACAAGATGATGATCTTGCAAGTGAAGGTTGTCTTAGGAGGATTTTATTGCTTCACTTTATTGTGATCTTACACAAACAATGATGACCAAGCATCCTGACTCCCCACTCTCATCTTTGTTATGTATATTTACTCAAATTAAGTTAATTAACAACTGTCCATTAATAAACATGATAATATACTTTTTGGAAGGCCCTGGGGGGATTGGTACCAAACCTGCACACGAAAATCACTCCCTATGAAAGCAAAGGACTCTGCAGGAGATGCAACATTCCCTCAATGAAAAGCAGGGGCGCCACAACTATACTGAGAGACAACAAAAATAAGTGCCCGGGGCCCCAAGACTGTTCAACTGCCTCCCAGCATCTTTAAGGGAGATTACTAATAGCCCCCTGGTTGTCATCAAGAAGGCACTGGAGAGGCCCCTGACCAACCGAGCTGTGGTTCGTACATCAATTTGTGTGCAGCCAGCAGTAACAGCCTGGTTGATCAGACCCTGATCCAAATCATGAGTCCTGGGTCTCAGACTGAGCCGCAGGGGCGTTGACCCCAAAACCCCCTTTTCTAGATAAACATCGGCCGTTTCCCGCCAAGGCAAGGGTGGCGGAAAAAGAAAAACTTTCATTATCAGTCACTATCACTGCCTTGCCAGGGGCATGCTTACACTACAGTTATAAAACTGCACTATTAACACTCCTCCTTCAGAGTGCCGGCACCGTACTTCCATCCCCAGGAATCCAGTTCGGCCTGCCGGTTTCCCTGAATCCCTTCATAAATGTTTCAGCACGTCAAGTCCTGCAATATTCACAACCCATGCCTCACATCCATATACGAGTGTTAGTATAACTATACTTCTGTTTTCCATGGATAAAGGTCTTTGTCTCCACAGACTCCTTAGTGCACCACTCACCTTTTTCCCCTCGTCAATTCTATGATTCACCTCATCCTTCATAGACCCATCTGCTGACACGTCCACTCCCAAATATTTGAACCACTCACCTCCTCCATACTCTCTCCCTCCAATCTGATACCCAATCTTCCGTTACCTAATTTTTTTGTTATCCTCATCACCTTACTCTTTCGTATATTCACTTTTAATTTCCTTCTTTTACATACCCCACCAAACTCATCAACCAACCTCTGCAACTTTTCTTCGATTTTAGATTTTGCCCCCGAAGTGGCTAGTTTTTGTGCACCCCATATCCATTCTGTGGACGGTAGCGCGAGAGCATAGGGGATACACAAAAGGCCTGGGAACTAGGCCCCAGAAGGGTTAACAGGTGTACATATGGATTTATATCTACAGTTCACTTATCTGTTAAAAGCAAATTTGGGAAAAATTTGCTTAGTATATCGGGTATCTTATTTTCATTAATAAGATATCTTGACATGTCACATTGGTTATTATACTGTCTGTCTCTGTATTCCTCAATAAGTGGACAATTAAGCACATAGTGTTCAAGATAGTGACCATATGCCTGATCAATAATTTACATTTAGTTTGATCATCATCTTGTGTCTCCCAAACTCCCAGAAGTACTTGTAACCAAGCCTAAGCCTGGCCACTACAACATCAGTCAGTGTTCACATTGCAAGTTGCTCCATAAACATACTTATCTACGTTCATGTTATCATAGTGGGTTATAGATCTACTCAGGCTTCTGACTGCATTCCTATAACAATCATTTTCATTATTTACTTCTCTCCTAATATTATTCCAAGGGAATTAATGTACAATTGCTATGGATCCCACCCAAAATTTGGATTACTCTTTCATTCTCTTCAGAATCTCCCCAAAAACAAAAGTGTCATGAGCAAAGAGAAAACTGTGACAACTCCCACTTTGCGTTAGATTCCTTTATCTTTTAACCCCACACCTCTTGCCAACACAGAAACACTCACTTCTCTTACACTCCATCTATAAATTTTATTGAACAACTATGGTGATATCACACATCACTGTCTAAGGCCTACTTTTACTGGGAAATAATCTCCCTCTCCCCTACATACTCAAACCCTGAGCCTCACTATCATTTTTAAAATCTTTCACCGTTTTCCCAATAACCTACCTCCTATTCCATACATTTAAAAACATCTGCCACATTGATCCCCTATCCACCCTACCATATGCCTTTTCCAAATCCATAAAATGCCACAAAAACCTCTTTGCCTTTATCTAGTTTACTGTTCCCCTATATGTTTCACTGTAAACACTTGGTCTACACACCCCTACCTTCCTAAAAGCCTCCTTGTTCTTTCTGCTATCCTGCTCTCCGTCTTACCATAATTCTTTCAATAATAACTCTCCCATACACTTTACCAGATATACTCAACAGACATATTCCCCTATAATTTATACACTTTTTTGCCCCCTTGTGCCTTTATACAAAGGAATTATGCATGCTCTTGCCAATCCCTAGGCACTTTACCCTCTTACTACATTATTAAATAAAAAACACTAACACTTCAAACTATATCCCCACTTGTTTTTAACATTTCTATCTTTACCCCATCAATTCCAGCTGCTTTACTCCCTTTTCATTTTACCAAACTGCCTCACGAACTTCCCCCACACTCACAACTGCTCTTCCTACACCTACAAGATGTTATTCCTCCTTGCCCTATACACGAAAACACAGCTTCCCTATCTTCGTCAATATTTAACAATTTCCCCAAATATTCCCCCAACTTCCGACCCTCTAACTCTCCATTTAATAACTCTCCTCTCCTATTTTTAAAATAACAAATCCATTCTTGCCCTAGGCTTTTCTTAACTTAGTAATCTCCCCACCAAAACTTTTTCTTATTTTCAACAAAAAATTTTTTGATAACATCTCACCCCCTCTCTTCATTTTTCTCTCTTTTTCATTGCTTTACCACTCTTTTAACATCTCTTTTTCTCTCCATATTTCTCTTCCCTCCTTGCATTTTCGTCTAATTTGTTTAAAAAAACCCCTCATATGCTAACTTTTTCTCTCTTACTACTCTCTTTACATCATTATTCATCCAATCGCTCTTCTTCCCTCCCACACCCACTTTCCCATAACCACAAACTTCTGCTGAACACACTAACACTATATTTTTAAACTTACCCATACATCTACCCATTGCCTTACTCTCACTAACCCATCTATCCTCCAACATTAGTTTATATCTTACCTTAACTGCCTCCTCCTTTAGTGTATAAACCTTCATTTCTCTCTTACTTGTTCCTTTCGTTTTCCTTGTATCCCATCTACCTTTTACTCTCACTGTAGCTACAATTAAAAAGTGATCTGATATATCTGTAGCCCCTCTATAAACATATACATCCTGAAGTCTATCCAACAGTCTACCCAATACGAAGCCTAGCAAACTACTGTCATTTCTCCCTACATCATAATAAACATATTTTTAAAATAACTAAATCAAATCTTGTATACTTATTTACCTCTTTTCTTAAAATTGTGTTACCAAACCCCTTTCTATACAAAGTTCAATCAAATGCTCCCCATTATCATATACTTCTGGCACCCCAAACTTACCTACCACACCCTCTCTAAACGCTTCTCCTACTTTAGCATTTAGATCCCTTACTACAATTACTCTCTCACTTGGGTCAAAAGATCTTACACATTCGTTACATCTCCCAAAATCTTCTCTCTCCTCTACACTCCTTTTCTCGAGGTGCATACACACTATTATGACCCACTTTTCACATCCGACCCTTATTTTAATCCACATAATCCTTGAATTTATACATTTATATCCCCTCTTCTCTCTCCATAACTGATCCTTCAACATTATTGCTACCCCTTTCTTAGTTCTAATTCTCTTAGATACTCCTGACTTAATCCCATTTATTTTTCCCCACTGAAAGTCACCTACCCCCTTCAGCTTTGTTTTGCTTAGAGCTAGAACATCCAACTTCATTTCATTCTAGTGGTACACTCTGTAATCACAATTTTACTACATGTAAACCAAACAATAACTAAATTTCTGTAAACTCAGCATTGTAATCCTTATAGAGAATAAACTTTGAATTTGAATTGAATTTGAATTCATAACATTAGCAATCATTTCTTTTTTATCATCCACATTACATCCACGCACATTCAGTTTTATATAAAAAAAATTATTTTCCTTGTTTTTAGCAGTTTGTACAAGAGAAGGGATTACTAGCCCATTGCTACCGGTATTTAGTCGCCTCCTGTGACACACAGCTTACGGAGGAAGAATTTTGTTCCACTTCCTCATGGAGATCAGCAGAAATAAACAAGAACAAGAACTAGTAAGAAAATAGAAGAAAACCCAGAGGGGTTAATATATATATGCTTGTACATGCATGTGTAGTGTGACCTAAGTGTAAGTAGAAGTAGCAAGACATACCTGCAATCTTGCATGTTTATGAGACAGAAAAATACACCAACAATC